AATCATTGCCAAATCCGTAGATCATTTTGAAAAGCTAGATAAAAATCTTATTTGTTCTTTATACATCAGTAAAATGTTCTATTTTATAAGAAATTTCAGTTATTTTACAAACTTCAATCTATGCCCATGAAGGAGAGAACATGGTATGGGGGTTAAGATTGAAGAGCCAAATCCAGGTTTAAGTCTTGGCCCATCACTTTCCAACTATGCTATCATTAAGCCTATATTTTCTAATAATTGAAATGTTATGAATAATATTACGTACAGGATTATTTTGAAGGAAAGCACTTGATGCATAGAACATGTTCAATAACTAGTAGCTGTTACTATGAGTACAGTTCAGGCACTATTTATTTTAAGAGAAGCATGATGTGAAATGAGTTTAGGGATTCCTGAGAATATTTACTTACTTTCAAGAGAGAAAACAGATATATTTGATTATAAATGGCATTTTAAAAAATATATACTATACCATCACTACATACAACTGCACACATACACGCACATACACAATAGTACTGTAGAAAAACTAATTTATATTTAAAAGTTTATGCTGTACTCTTCTAAAGTATCCAACCCACTCTGTCTTATTATTTGATATGTACTACAATTATCTAGCAATTATTACAACCTCTATTGTGCAGATTTAAAAGGTTGATTGTGTTATGGCGATTATGTGTTACTTTTGGAAGTAACTAAGATTTTCTTACCCTTCTTTGACTGTTTCAGGGTAATTCCCTACAGTCGTTTCTTAAAAAAAATATACATATATGTGTGTGTGTGTGTGTGTGTGTGTGTTTATATACTCAATGATTCATAACTATTTACAGAAAGTGGTTAAAACTTTATGAAGGAGAAAGATCATTGATTTGTGGTCACCAAATTTGTTGATTTGTAGTATCATTTTTGAGTTTTCATAAAGAATTCACAATTCAATATTTTAAGATGTGTGCAAATATTGCCAACCAAAAATGTGATATATTGTGTGATTCCAACTATGCAACATTTTGGAAAAGGAAAACCTATGGAGACAGTAAAAAGTTGTTGAGTTTCAGGGAGGAAAGAATGAATGGGTATTTTTAGGGCAGTAAAACTATTACATATGATATTAAAATGGAGGATACATGTTATCATGCATTTGTCAAAATCCACAGAATTTACAACACAGTGTGAACCCTAGTAGAAACAATGCACTTTGGTTGGTAATGTGTCAATGTGGGGTCATTGATTATGGATATTTATTATAATAAACATTTATATAAAAGTCCATATAGGAATCCCATCCATGAATCTCCTTCTCCTTGTGTGCTTCCTCAAAATAGAATACAATCACTACACTATAGGTTGATATTGCTATTTTAATATTAAAATACCACTTTTTAATATTGATACTTTAGAATCTCCTATTGAAGACTAATGTGTCCCCTACATTGAAGATATTCAAAGTAAAAACCTCAATGCTCTCACTAGATCATTTCCAACACATCTTTCAAGAGATAGGAATTACTTAATGGTCAAAAGGCTTGTCACAAACTAAATATCTATTCTGTGTCACAAGTTTAAAATTAATAGTTCCCCAAAGTTATGTTGCAAATTTATATGACTCATCCAAAGAGAATATGGATGATACTCTACAAAGCTGTCATCATTACTGAAGAGAAGAAAATACTCTATATAATGTTTTTTATTGATGGCTTGCTTATTACGATTGCTGTGTTCAATGAACACCATATATCTTCAAAAAGAATAATTTTCCAAAAAATTATGAAATAATTTATGTGAAGAAGAAAACACAAAAGAATCCAGAAATAATCCAGATGGTAATTTATGAATAGTTGGTTATTCTTTGACTTGTTAATATGGGCATGGAAAAAAGTTACAATTCTTAGAATGTGTGATTCATTGTTATGCTGAGGCCACAATCATTCAGAAAATAAAATTGTAGTATCAAAAGTTATAATTTTGATACATCAATTAAAATCTAACATTTAAAAAATGGACATATTCTTAAAAATAGACATTTTAAGTTATAATTATTAAGAGTGGGTTTTCACCTAGAATTTTATCCTGTATTACTTATTAGAAAATAAGAGAAATGTAAAAAATACCCTGGGAATTAACACTATGTAGAGTTTAAGGAATAAAATTTCATAATACTAATTAATAATCTTCACAATATTTTAAAATCCAAAGCAAAGAAAAATACAGATGCACAAAGATACTTAAAGTGTATGTTCTGTTCTTTATAAGTGAATTAGAAAATTAAAGGCTTAAGAAATAAAGTGGAATGAGATTTTAATTAAGAAAAATTTAAATTCCAGTCCAAAGCTGTGATAAAATTCTGAATAAAACATGGCTACTGTAATTGGACCAGGTTTGTTTCTTCATGAAGTTGTTTCTAATTCTGAAGCTGCATATGTGCAGGCACCAGTGATGTAGAATGCAAGCGTTGCCATGGTAAGTACACATCTTTTCTTGGACAGTCAAATATAAAAAAAAAAAAAAAGTATAAAGAACTTTCACTTCATTATGTTATGGAAATTGACTATGCTTTTTCAGCCATGACATATTAGCATGATGCAATGCAGCACAGGACAGAAATATCCCACGTTTTAAAAAACTTTAGCCCGTTAAGATGGCTTATAATACATGGAGTCAAAATAAGAAATTTCTAAGTCACGTAACCCTTGTTAAATGCTGGGTGGGGGAACAAGCTCTACCTCCATTAAATTAATAAATTTTCAGTTTTCAGGACATCCCACAAGCCAGAGACACCTCGGGAACCCGAACGCTGATGTTGCTAAACACACCCCCCATTGCATGTGTGCTTCAATTCTTTCACTTTTAAGGAAAAAATAAAATCTTTTCAGCATCTCTACTTTCTCATTCTTTCCTGGTTTGATCAGTGGTTTCCAAGCAGCATGGACATGACTGCTCCACAGTCTTTTGCAAAAAGATCTCCCAGTGGTTCCCTTCCGGGAAGTCAGCTTAAGGATGCCTGAATTGAGGCATGACACTTGGACTGGGGAGGTGGCAGAATCTGTTGCGAATGGCAGCAGGTTCTGAGGCGCTGTAGAACCCACGTGTGCAGGGGCTGGAGAACTTTTCCACAGCGTTTCCCACAGGGAATGCCTCATTTTGAAAGAGGGGGCCGGCTGGGACCAGGGGTGGGGATGAAGGGTGGGCAGAAATGAAATTTCAGAAGATCCAAGCCCTTCACAGGCAACCATCCACTTGGACTCCTTTCCGCTCTGTTCTCGCCTAAGGTCAACTTATTATTATTGTTGCTGTTATTATTTTTTTCTTTTATATGAGGACTTCAGCAACTGAGATGCTGAGCATTTCATAGGCTCAGCCTGGAACAAAGAAAAGCGAGTTCCTAATACTGTATCTCTCCGGTTGGAGGGATCACGTGTCCTGCTTTCGGTGGAATGCACTCTGCTCGCCCACGCTATAAAATCTCTTTTGTGCTTAGAAATATTGCCCAGGTTAAAATATGCTCAAATACAAATTGCATGTCTTCCATCAGGAAAGCCATATTTCAACATTTACAGGTAACAGATATTTACCTGCTGACCCAATTACCACTGCAGGTAAATTCGATGTAAGTGTATTGGGAAAGTAATGGAAAAGAGCAGGTGGCGGACCCCCGTGTCTCACTGATTCCCACCCACCCCCTCCCGCTTTTTCTAATTCCTTTTGAAGGAGAACTTCGAAAGGAACGTGGGAGTCGTCGCAGATGGTTCCTATCTGTAGCTGATTCCCAGGAGTTGTGAAAGTGACCCCTTCCCTTCTCCGCCTCGCCTCGTGCTGAGCCCTCTCGCCCAACCCGCTTGCTTTGTGACTTGATGGGGAGGAGATAGCGAGGGAAAAGAGGAAGAGGACTGAGGAGGTTCTTTTATTCCGCCCTGATGGTAGAGAAGTAGTGTAATGAAGCAATTTTGCAGCCATCTCCGTTATTATGAAGTCACACTATTTTTAAAGGCAATATGTACAATCTCATCCCCACCCACCTCCTGGTTCTTGACTCTAAAAACAGACTAGAGACCTCCGGTAGCCAGTCTCACGGTCCGGTGAGCCAGGGTGCCATGATTACCCTAATACTAATGGGCTTTCCTCCCTCTTTCCACATAGGATCAGAAACGCGTCCTGCATCCTTAATGACTGGGAGAGGAGGATGCGAAGGGGCCCAGTAGTGAATTAGGAATAGTGCGGGTTCACCAGGAACACAAAGGAGATGTGCGGGTAGGAGTTGTCTGGAATAGGGAGAGGGAGGCATCATTTTCCCTGACTCCTTAGGAAAGCTTTTACCCCATTGCTCCCCCACTTCTTTCAGTCCTCCAGTCTTTCATGCTCCTTCATCTCCTTTATCTCCCCCCAAGCCCCACCCCTGCAATCCTCAATGACATAAAGATCTCCTAAAAGCATTTTTCAAACAATTAGCTATCAAGTCAGTAATACAACACCCTCCAAGATAAAGGAACCAGTGCGACCTGCCACAAGTGTGTGTGTGTGTGTGTGTGTGTGTGTGTGTGTTTCAAACACGCGCTTGATCCCTCACACACCTCCGGGAAAGGCTGACTGGAGCTACCCAAGATAATAAAGAGGAGCAAAGCCTAACCTCAGCTGGACCAACGGTCCCAGCACTAGAGCCCAACACTCGCTCTTTACCTTTCCTTTTCGCAGTATGTAACCCTTTAGGGTCTCTCGCCAGCCCAAGCCACACAGTGTTCCCGTGCACTCGCTCAGCTAGCATCCCATTTCCAAATGCCAGGCACCTACCACAGCACTGCCGCCTCCGCGGAGCCACCTCAGGAGCAGCTCCCAGCGAGCGCCCAAGACTCCCGCCCTCAAGTGCCCACCCCCGGCCGGTCACTGGGGTCCCACACCGCGCGTGGTCAGGGTCGGTGCGGCCACAAGCAGCGATCCGCCACCCCCACCCCGGGCACACACACATACCCGCAGCCCCCTCGGCTACCATGCGAGAGTGCTCTACTCACATCGCCGGCGGGAGAAACTGCCCATGAGGTTCTGGAGAGCGTGAGCCGTGCAGCTGCTAAGGGTTATTCCTTAAAGTGTTCGAGGGTCCGCAGTAGAGTAGGAGCGAGAGTCCTCGGAGGAGGAGGAGAAGGAGTAGGAGGAGGAAGAGGAGGAGAAAGAGGGGATTCCAGGCAGGTGCCGCGTTAGACCATGATGCTGATGCCCTTCAGGTGGACCGCTGGTGAGGTTCCCGCGGGGAGCCGCTGAGGGGAAGCCCAGAGCGCCGGCGGGGGAGGCACGAGCGCGTCCACTCCCCGGCCTCCGCCTGCCCTGCGCGCCGCGCTAGCGACCGCAGCAGCAGCAGCGGCGGTGGTGGCGGAGGCGCAGCTCCCTCCCCGCCCCCAGAAAGCTCCACAGACAATAAATCCTGGGCGGAGAAGAGAAGAGCAGGAAAGGGACCCAACTCTGTAACACCCGCTGCCCGCCGCGGCGCCTCCGCTGGGCGAGGATCCCCGGGGGCTGGGGCGCAGTGGGCTACTCAGAGGTGCAATGTGCTTCGGCGGACGAAGGCGGCGGCGGTGGCCAGAGTGGGAGGCTGCAGGTCCCGCCGACGAGAAGCCCCCGTGCAAGGGCTGGGAGTCCGTGGCTTCAAGCCTGGGGTTCGCCGGGAGTGGGGTCCTCCTCGGTGCAGTGGCTCGGCGCACAGGTGCCAGGATTGGCAGGAGAGGAGGCGCTGCTCTTGGCTCTTGCCAGTGTCTCCCTGCTCTCCCCGCCCCCTCTCTTTTTTTCCCACCCCCTTTTCCGACGACACCAGCTGCAGCTGCTTCAAAGTGTGAAAAATGTCAAGGAGATTTTCCAATGATAGGAGAGGGTGCCCATGTTCACAGTCCTCGGCAGCTTTTCTAGATCCTCTCTTGCCCCTCTGACCTCTACTAGGACTCCCCCCCAAATTGTAAGGAGGAAAAAAAAAATCTCAGTCCCGTAGAAAACTGAAATGCTCTCCTCCCGGCTCCGCCGCCACAGGCTGCTTTTCGAAAACGGGACAGCAGGCCGAGCTCTCTGGGTTCCTCCAGTCGCCCGCGGCGCGCGAGGCAGGTGGCACGAGGCACCGCGCTGGGCAGCGCAGCCGCAGGCTTCTCGCGCTTGCGGAACGGCCCCGGGCGCTCTGGCGGCACGGTTGTCCTGCAGCGCCTGCAACTGGGTGGCAGAAGCGGCTCCCTGCCTGTGCGCCTGCCTGCGCGCCCCTGCACCCGCACCAGCTCAGTGACGCTGCGCTCGTGGCTCCGCAGGCTGCCGCTCCTGCTATCTCAGCAAAGAGGCGGCCAGGAGCGCCTCCTCGGGGTTTCCTCCCCCGCCCGCCTTGCCTGCTGCAGGTTGTTGGCTGCCAAGGAGAAAAGTCTTTGCTTCCGTGTCCAGTCGCTTCATATCAGTCATGGCAGAGACCCTTGTGCCAGCTCTCATGTCCCCTTCTCATTCTGGGGCTGGATTGCTGCTCTGGGAGTGCGCAAAAACAGAAGGGTTTCCCAACTTTCCCTTCATCTAGTCACCGCCCCTCCTCCTGCCCTGACACACACAGGAACGAACACACACACACACACACACACACACACTCACATAAAGGCACACACACTTTGTTCTCACTTCCCTTTAAACTCTCATAAGCAGCAATATGTTAAAAAATATAGAAGCTAGTGCTATATGTAGACTTGTATTCTCTAGACACATCTGATGTAATCTTTTAACATAGATTTATTGTCCTGGAATCATTCTTTTGTGGGATATAGCCTCTGGGTTGGTTGGTTTGGTTGTTTCTTCATTATAGAAGAGGAATACTCTTCCCTTTCCTCCCCTAATCGCTAATACAGTCAGACTGTGTGTGGCATTTAAATGCCATGTTGAGATGTATGTAAGCTTACAGTATACCGAAAAGAAAAAAGCACTTGCTTGTATTAGATTTGGAATACTAAAATCTTCAAGGTTAAATATCATTTTTCCTGACTGCTGGGGATTGTCTAGGAAAAGCCTTGGGAGGCTGAAACCTAATCTGCAGAGAACCAAGGGGAAGGATTATTGTCCACTTTATCTTGACTGGAAAGGTGGGCTGACTTTTAAAGAAGGTTTCCCAGTGTTTGGTATAATTTGCATGTAGAAAGGAAAAGTAGTGAGGGTATGTTTTGTAAAGCCTGATCATTTTTTTTAAAAAGTGCTACAAAACACCATGAAACAGCTTCTGAAAATGGCAAATAAATGGGGATAAACATGTCAAAAGAACAACTGTTTTTAAATTAACCTTTGTTGAGCTCTAATTTTTCACACAGTTTTGTCCTTGTGAACATCTTGCCACATCTCAATGCCTCAGCCAAATGGGATTATATGAAAAAATTTAGATATCAATCGAAAAATCTACTGGAAAAGTAATTTGATACAAGAATCCTATGAAAGCAATCCTTCATAGGCTTCCAATTCTCTTGAATGCAATTTACACAATACTGTCACACATGATATTTCATTCCTTCTTTCTGTAGATCCACAATTAAAAGAAGGCATAAAGGCTCATCTCAGAAAGGTACTCAGCTGCCCTGTTCCTGAACTCAGAATTTCTTATTTTAACTCCAGGATTCTCTCATACCAAAATATTTCACAGAAGTTCTTTTATATAAAATCACAGCCAATTATGGGTAACTGCAGGTCCTTGCAAAGAGGGCACCTACCTACTGATGAAGTGACATTCTGTGTGTTGAGTGAAATTGTTTCCCTGAGTGAAAACAAGTTTTTTCCTTTCCATTGAGGACAAAGGTGGTATTTGAGGAACCCCAAATTGAAAGTTGATGGTGCTGCTATACTATATTTAAGCCACACATCCTCCTTTCTCTCTTATTTAGTGATTTCAATATTGTGCCATAAAAATCCAAATGGACAAAAGATTTTTTAACATGAAACATGAATTTTGTATTAAACAATAAAAGAAGACATCCTCTTTAGAATAGGCTTTGAATGCCATGGCCCAATTGTTTTCCCTAAGATTCATGGATCTTGAAGAAAAATTTGCCACCTTCACTATTTAAACAATGAAGCATATTGAAGAGATTTCAGTGGTTTCATGGAATTATGAAACTATTGAAATGCAAATGTAGATACTGTCTTTAAATTCCAAGTTGCCCATTATCAATGCAGCTGACTGTATTGGAGAAAGATGAATCTAAATGTCCTCTGATGTTGTTCATAGAAAAGTCCAACAGCCACAACTTTAAAAATTAAATCAAGGTAGTTTTAACAGACTAGCTGATCAGATGGTATCCATAAATGTTTAGATATTAAGGCTATCAAAGTTTATAATATGTTAATCAAGTTCTTGACCCATGCTATTAAAATCTTTGAAATGATAATCTGTTTCCAGGATAAACAAGACTAAGCTTATTTGAAAATAAAATACATGGTAATTGATATTAAACAAAAGGTACCAAATATTTTCCCAATATTTTTCTTTGGATGCATGAAATGTCCTTTGTCTTAAAAGATGTACTCTTTGGCAAATGTTTAATTAAAATAGTACTATATACAGAGAGTATAATACTCAGCTTTAAGAATTAATGTCTTAATGAGATTGGCTCCAGAAGATATTGGTAATGGGGATAATAGTAAACTGGTAAATTTCGAGGCATGGAGATACATTTCTGAAGAACTCAGAGCTGATAGAGTCTAGTATGATAATATCAATATCAGTGGGGTACCATAAAGGCAAGCAGAGTGCTGTTCTGTTGTTAGCATTTGAAAAGCAAGGACAAAGTTTTGAATAGGAAATGGTAGTAGGTCATTAAGATTTATTAGATGGCCTTTACTGTGAAAACTGATATCTCTGATTAACCATCTGTTCTAGCTTAAGAGAGTGCTTCTTTATTATAGATTTTAATTCCTTTAGGTTTTTGTTTTTTATTTTTAAAAATTAATTTGAATAATTAAGGTATACAAAAAACACAATGTTCACTGATGTACCCACCATCTACCTTAAGGAGGAGAACTTTATGCATTATGGATATGATTGAAGCCTCCAGTCTAGGTCCACTATCTCTCCTCTGCCTTACAACCTCATTCCTGAGTTTTTTATTAATTGTACATTCATAAATTTTGTGCATTTTTGCCACTAACAATATTTTTGTACTGTTTTGCATACTGAACCCTCACATAAATCATATAATATGTATTCTTTTATAACTTGTTTTTAATTTTTAAAAAATCAGCATTATGTGTTTAAGAATGATTCATCTTGATGTGACTTTCTTGTTCACTAATTTTTTTTCCTCTGCCATATAGGTGATTGTGGGAATTTATGATATTTTTATTCTGATGATAATTTTTGCTATTATAAGTAATGTTGTTATGAACATGTTTGTTTATATCTCTATGTATTTATAAAAGAGTTTTTTGAGTTTACATACCACCTATGAGTGGATTTCTGGGTTGTAAAGTATAATATTTACAATATTAAATTGTTCTTCAAGAATTTGCATTCATAGTAGCATCTCTGAGAGTTTTTTATTTGTTTGTTTGTTTGTTTCTTGCTTGATCTCATGGAAGTTGAGAGTAGAATGGTGATTATCAGAGGCTGGAAAGTGGATGGCAAAAGGTTATTGTTATAGTTAGATACACAGAAGGAGTTCTGGTGTGCTCTTGAACAGTAAGGTGGCTTTAGATAATGATAAGATAATATGCTGTGTGTTCCAAAAAACTAGAAGCAAAGATTTTGAAATTTTTCATTGTAAAGAAAGTGATACATATTTGAGGAGATTATGTATTTACCTTGATTTGAAAATTACATGATGAATACATGTATTGAAGCATCATATGTACTTTCATAACCATATGTTTGTATATACTAGTTAAGAATAAATTTAAATCTTGAAAAGTGTGGGGGTTTTTTTGATCCATATGCTGGCAGTGCTTGGTATTATCAGACATTTTAATGTTATCCAGCGTATGGGATATAAAATAGTGCTTTATCATAGTTTAGATTCATATTTTACTGCTTACTTGTGAGATTGAACACCTTTTGGTGGGGTTTGCCATCTACATTTCCAATATGAATTGTTTATTTGTATATTTCACTCATTTTCAATTGCTTTTTCTTGATCTGTGTCTGTTTGTGTGTGTTTATATAATATGATCTTGTGTGTTAGAAACATGATATTCTATGCAGGAATGTTCAAAGGTGAAATGGTTACATTAAGAAAGCTGGATCCTAATCAGTAGATTAATTCATTTGCTGGATTAATATTTTGAATGGGCTACTAGTGGTAACTATAGGCAGGTGGCACATGGCTGGAGGAAGTAGATCACTGGAGGCATGCACTTGAGTATTATATTTGTCCCTGGCTTTTTATCAGTGCTCTTTCCTCTCTTTTTCTCCCTTCTTTTCTCCTTCCCTCCCTCCTTCTCCTTCTCCGATGCCTTTTGCCAAGAATCTTTCCTCTGCCATGATGTTCTGCCTTGCCACAGGCCCAGAGCAACAGAGTTGACTAACAATGGATTGAGCCTTTGAAATGGTGAACCAAAGATAAACTTTTCCTCCTTTAAGTTATTCTTGTCAGGTGTTCTGGTCACAGTGACAACAAAATTGACCAACACTCTATGTGTGTGCATGTGTTCATGGATTCTGGATTCTAATTCTTTTGTCAGTTACATCTCATCTTTTGTTTTGTTTTTTTTTTTCCCTCAATATGTGCTCATTTTTATGAAAAGAAGCTTTAATTTAATATTGTCAAATTTATTAATTCTTTCCATTATGTGCCATCTACTTTCAGGAAAGCTTTATTGCATGAAGGTTTTAAATATCCTTTTTTGTGTTTTTGTTCTAAAAACTTTATAATAGTATATTTTGTTCCTTCCAGACTTTGATTCTTTGTATGGTGTGAGGTATGGCTTAATCCCCCCATCCCCAAGGGCTGCTACTGTACTACAGAATAGTCTATAATATATTAGTTTGTTGGTCTATTTTTTGAGCTGTTAATTTGTTTTCATTTGTTCCTCTGTGTTGTCCAAATTGAAAACTGTCTGAAATACTATAACTTTATAATCAATATTGATACGTAGGGAGCGCAAGGGCTCTCATCTTGTTCTTCAAAATGTCTTTGCCTTTTCTCCATCCTTTCTTTTTGTATTATTAATTC